AAGGGGAGTGTCCTGAGCTGCCCTGAGTGGCGGCCAGCAGAGCACCCACAAGGAAGGGAGAGCATTTTCTACCTGAATAAAGCAGCTGGTGAGGAAGTGACTCCATCTCCTCCTATCATTGGCTCAGCAGGATTTCCTTTGCAGCCACATTGTGCTGAATGAGTCTAGGGGCTTCCGTCTGCAGAATGACTGGCTTTGGCAGTTGTAGGCTTCTGTCTGCTCTGACTCTTCCTCTCACCCCCCCCTCCCCCTTTAACTCCCAAAATACTGATCCTGGGTCTGGGGAAAAGGAAAGGGAAAAAAATAGGAGTATATAACTGAAGGACACACAGCTGCCTGGCCTGGCAGTGGTGAGTCGACACTCTGAGCGTGAGAAGCACAAGGTCTCTCCTTCCTCCAGGCTTGCAAAGGCTGCTCCTGAAGCCATCTCCAGTGAATAGGGTTGACTTTGGGGAACTGTGAGCCCAAGAGGAGGGGCTCGTTGAATCACAGGCCAAGGACGCACCATGAAACCTAATATAAGCAACATTTGGATGTAACTAGAAACCTGCTAGAGAAATGGCAGGAGATGAAAAACTCAAACAAAACAAAAACATAACTTGCCCGCCTACCATGGTTGGTGCAGGGGAATTTGGGTGTATTTTCTTATGCAAATTCAGCTAAGGATGCAAATTAGGAAGAGGCCCTCAGTAGCTTGGGAGGCCTAGAAGTCCAAGTGGTTGGTTCTTTTCTTGAGCAGGGGACAGTGTGAACATAATTTGCAAAGGAGCCTGATGCCCTGGCGAGCCTGTAGTCATGGGGCCAGTTCAGAGGATGCGTGGCCATGTCCACCTGCTAGCAGAACCGTAAGCAGGCCATTCCCTGAGGTGGGATTGCAGAGGATTTCTTAGTTTAATTATCTGGGCTGGATTTCTTAGTTTAATTATCTGGGCAGAGACAAATTCTGGGCTACTGCACTAGGTATGCAAATTCTCAGGGAGAAGCTACCTGCTGCTGTGGCTCAGGTCCCTGCTGCAAGGAAGTGCGATTGGTCCAGTTCTTCAGAGGATACGTGGTAGTGGGCAGATAAATGCATTTATAACAAAATCTGCTATAATATATTACTAATTACGCCATTTGATTCAACAGGTTTGTATAATAAACCCCCAAGGAAGACCAAAGGCCGACTCCATACTATTGGGTCAGAAAAGTCATGAAGTATTTTTCTGTTTCTCTGTGTCACTTTTCTGATGACCCAATAGATCCTGAAATCTCATCTTCAGCTTGCTTATTCATTTAATAACCAAACACATTTTTGCAAGGTGCTGAGGAGTCTTAAAGCTAAATAAGACAAAAACCCTATCCCATAATCACTTCTTGGTGGTATTCTGATGCCTTCACAGCAGCTTTGATGGGCACAAGCATTTTCTCGACGTATTCAAAGTACTTTGTGCAAGCAGGCACACTTTCCTGGAGTTCTGGCCTAGGAGGGAAGAGTCCTGCCGTCTGCATTTTAAGCATGCCTGTGGAGGTACCTGCCCAAAGATCTCACACAGAGAAGCCTCAGTAACCTGCCTGGCGGAGTTTTGGCTTTCAAACAAAGTTTCTTCATTTCTTTTCTTTACCTTCCTCATTCCATTATGCTCTTTTGGCTGGAACCTCTGAGTACCCTGTGTTTTCCAGCGCTCAGTTCTTTCCTGCTTTGGGCTTATGCTATTTCATTGTTTGGGGGAGTAACCATATTATGATCCCATGTTCATCATGGAAGTATATGGAGCAAAAAAAAATCTTAATTAGCATACTCAACAACGAAAAGATAACTTGCCAATTAGAAAATGGAGGGCGGCGGGCAGAGGGGTCCTGCGCCGGCCCA